GCTCACAAAGGAAACAGGTGCCCCTGTCGGATGTCAGAAAGGAATCAGGGCTGTGACTCCAGCTGGTGGCTCTAACCGCAGGGAGCAGACTCCTGTCCATGCACAGATGCTTTCCAGGCTGACTGGGAACTCAAAGCGCACTTCCTATACTATGTTAGACAGTAATTTGTGGGTGAATAGAGATCGACAGTTCCACGCTGATATTGGGGGAGCGCGAACTCCACATTAATGGTTCTGACCACGTTAGATGAAAAAGTGGTGTGGGAACGAGAAAACAGAGGCACAGAAAGTTCCACAGCCACCCCAGTTCACCGTAGCTTCTCAGCGGTGAAGCTATTACCCAAACGCAGTCACAGTCAGTGTCCCCATGAGGTCCCCACCCTTCACCACAGCTGGGTCACCCTCACGGGAGAGCTCGGCAAGGCCAGTCACAGCTTCTGGCAATTTCCTGATAGAGATTTCATGGTCTGAGCAAAGATTTCCCATCCTGTCAATCAGAGAAGCACCACGGACCTGTGGTTTGGATAATAACGTACAGGTTTGAACGTGACGCCAGCCCCCTGAACTCTTGGCCACATAGCTTATTGTAAAGCAGTCGGTCTGGCTGGAGTGGGGTGTGATGGAGGCATAATTCACACCCACCTACCGCCTGGCGCAGTGTGCTCGTAACCGAAGTGCCCTCCCCAGGTACTTCAGAGGTGGCCCCCAGGAGGAACCCAGTTGGGAATGCACACACCTCGGCAGCTCCGTAAGCATTTCTGAGTATCATTATCTAAATGTACGTCAGGGAGTTTTAAAAACAGCGTGAGAGGCGTTAGAAACACTGCCTCACATATAAGGACATGCTGTGTGTGCCGTATACACACACCTCTAACGGTGCAAGGCCAGGGCTGTTCAATAGGCATGACTGCATGGAGGCCCCGATTGGCACCGTCTGCTCAGGACACGCAGAGTGGGCACCAGGCTCAGGGCACCCCGATGCCCAGTGCAGCACACACTGCTCCCCAAATACCTAAGCAACCCTGAGTTTAAATTAAAGCTGGTATCCATGGTCCACGGGACGTGTTACTTGATTTTGTTTTGCCTTCACGGAACCTAGAAAGTTTGGGGTGATCTGATGAGCAGGGTGTATTTCCCGTGGAAAGCAAACATACTCAGAAACATCCCACAGGTCTCCATGAACGCTTCCGTCATAACAACGCTTCTTCCCATGAAACCCATCCCTCCATCAACTCCCCGCCTCCATGAATAATCAAAATCATAAGGCATGGGATGACATAAAAACCGTAAGTCAGTCAGCAACGCAAACATATCCACCTGGGGCCCACCTGACCTTTGGTTCATGTCTCCAGGGCACCTCATCGGAGTAAAAACTGCCAGGCCACTCATGCTGACTCTGTAGAAGGTGCCTTAAGAAACCGTGTAAAGAATGACAAAACACGCCTCAGGCTTGTTGCGGCTTTGAAGCCTCCGGAGACCAAAGTCGGAACGTGAAGGGTAGGGACCACGTGGCCCGGCTTAGATGTGAAATGGACAGCACTGAGTGAGTCCACCGTTCTAAGCTCTAGGTCTGCTTTCATAGCAGGCTGGGCTACAGCGTGAACAGTGTTTCTAGAACATTCTGAGTTTGAGCTCAGGACGGACTAAACATACATCCAACTGCCGCAGCCCTGGAACGAAGGCCTCTTTGGCTGGCCTGGCCACACCCCACTTCTGTCACACTAGCCACCAAAAGAAAGTGACATTTGCCCAGAAGAATAAAATGAAGACATGCGCCTCGCTCGTTAAAATTGGTGTGTGGTCACCGCGAGGCAGGGTGCCCAGAGGACCAGCGGGACAGGGTCTGAGTTCAAAGCCAGTGTCAGGGGCGCATCTGAGCGCAAGGCCA